CCACTAAGCATAGAAAAAGACTACTATAGATTGTAGTTGTCAGATCCTGGAAGGTTTTGTTTTATACTATTATTATTATTATTATATTTATTACTATTATTAGTATTATTCAGACACAGAAACAATCATGGATTTGATTGTACCAAATATGGGTACAGAGTAAGAATTCAACAGAAACTTATAAAACTAATTGAGAAGTTTGTTTTTAAAGATTATTATAGAACTTTATTATAGAATTATAGATATATTATTATAGAACACATCTAAAATATGTTTTGTTTTAATAAAATTGGTGTGATATCTGTACTATAAGTTATAGTTTTTATGTGCTGGGTATGGTGGCAGTTGCCTGCAATCCCAGCACTTGGAAGGTGGAGGCAGGAGGATCCCAAGTTTAGGATCTACTTGGGCTACATATAGAACTAAACTCTTAGCTCAGCTGTGCCTCCCTACAAGTTATACAGTCTTAAAAGAATGAAATTAGAAAAGAATATATTTGTTAAAGTATATTGATTGGCTGCTATGACCAAATATTAAATACGACAGACATGCTTCTGAAACTTGAACTCTGGTCTAGAGGATAGGAAAAAAACATCAAAAAAATAGGTAAGGTCAGGTGGCCAGAAAGACGGAGGGAAAGTAAAGGCGGGGGATTAAGTAGCAAGGATAGGCCGGTGCTTAAGAATGGTTCCTTGGAGATGATGGTGTTTGAGATAAATCAGTCAAGTGGGGCTGTGAAGCAAAGTCTACCAAGCAGAGAAAACAGATCATACAAAGCCACTGAGGTGCAAATGTATTTATTTGGTATGTGTTAGAACAGAAGGAATCTTGGTGGGATTAAAAATTACATTCCTCAACTGGGCGTGGTAGCACACACCTTTAATCCCAGCACTGGAGAGACAGAAGCAGGTGATCTGTAAGTTCAAGGCCAGCCCCGTCTACAAAGAGAGTTCCAGGACAGCCAGGGCTGCTATACAGAGAAACCCTGTCTTGGAAAAACCAAAGAAAAAAAAGAAAGAAAGAAAGAAAAAAAAATAATAATTACATTCCAGCCCTGCAGTGGTGACACACGCCTTTAATCCTAAAATTTGGGAAATAGAGGCAGGCAGATCTCTTGAGTTTGAGGACACCCAGAGATACACAGAAGAGACTTTGTTTGAAAAAACAAAAACAAGAAATTACATTCCAAGCAGAGAGGAAGGCACTAGCCAGATTAGTATGGCCTTATAAAGTATACAAGAGAGTTTGGACATTTTTTTCTCCCTTTAGTTTTAGTGTTAGAAATTAGGCAAGTACTCTACCACTAATCTATATCCCCAGCCCTGGTCTCCATTCTCTTTGAGATAGAACCCACTGGAGGATTTTTAACACAAGAATGGCATTATTAAGTTCAGTTTATAGGTGAATACTTTTTAGCTGCTCTATAAAGAATAGATCTATAAGAAAGGAAACAAGAAAACCACTTTGAGCATTATTATTTTGACTAAGGAAAAGATTAAGGTAGAAGCACAGAGGATATGAGAGAGGTAAGAAAGAACTCCTAAATGTTTGCCTGGACAAACTGTGAAACTTTTTACTGATGAGAAGTTGATTTGCTTACAATGGAGGGGGAGGTGGATGAGGTAGAATGTACATTTCACTATCATAAATTTGGTATGCCTGTTAAGAGTCTGGTGAAGATGCCACCAAGTAAGTGTTGGAACCTAAGTTCACACCTCAACAGACAAGTCACAGATGTAGCACATGTACATAACAAATACCTGGAGGCTTTTGGAGAGACTGGACTATGTTCTAAAAGGTTAAAAAAAGATACAAAGTAAAGCTACCTGATTAATTATATAACTCATCAGAAACTTTTTTTAGGGCTTCAGCTTCATTGCAAACCTTTTACTGTAAGGGCTCTGCAGGTTGTGCTAGGCAAAACAGTGTACTGCATGCCTCTCCTTGAAGGAAAGTGTCTATCCTAATGAGTCTCTGTGGCATAGATTCAGAAGATAGTCTTGATGAAATTCTGTCTCAGTGATTGATCTAAGGATGCTTTTGTAGGTCTTCATAAGTACAGTATAAAGTTCTAACTTCTTGCTCTCTTTCAATGCCCCACATATTCTGGACCCATTCTACCAATTCAGCAAGTACCCACCATTCCAAATGGACACAGCTCCTCACCCCCCATGGTATGCAGTACTCATTCTTTTTTCCAAATCGTTTCCTCCTTTTTGCATTGCTTTTCCCTAGCCATTGCTTTGAGACCCAGAGATCAATTATAGGCCTTTGAATTCTTTTAATTTTTATGTAGCATGAACTGACACTTCATTATTTTAAATTCCAAAGCCTATATAATATGTACTGCTTATTTTAGACTCAACATCAATACATTGCCTTAAGGTACTATCCAACATGTATACATTTTGTTTTCTTTTAAAGTGTAAGCTTTTTAAAGGCAAAATACCCTGTTTAAGATTCCTTTGTATTGCTGTGTGCTAGCATGCTATTAATCAGAGAGTAGATATATAGCAAATTACTTTCTTTTAACTATACTAATAAAAATTTTCACTATTCCATTTTTAACGATAGACTTTTTTTTTCCTTTAGGCTTTTCAAGATCTTCCAAACACATTGGATGAAATTGATGCATTATTAACTGAAGAAAGATCAAGAGCTTCCTGCTTCACAGGACTGAATCCTACAGTATGCCTCTTTCTCTGTTTCCATCCAGCAGCTCTCACATTGCTACCTTCCTCAGTGGACACATGCACATGTGCACGCACGCACAGGGACACACACACACACACACACACACACACACACACACACACAGCTCTCTCCAGTACTTGCCTCCCACACTGTACTGGAGCTCTGGGTAATAATAAGCTAGACAGCAGGAACAATGCCTTAAATGCCAGATTCTGAATCTATTAGAATTTTAAATAGAGTCTTCCTAAGGAACACAGTGTTCTGTGCCTTTTCTTTATAAAAAGAATAGTTGAGTTGACTTGAAATACAGCAGTGTGTATTTTTTTAAGGATTAAAAAGTAGCACTTTCAGTGCGCAATAGCATAAATTAATTGCATACAAACAATGCAATGCAATTGACATTTTAGCTAATAGCTTAATTGATGCAAATTTTTATATAATTTTATCCTTTGATAGATTTTTCTTAAAGAACTTATTTTTTTTCTACCAGGTGGTTGAGGAATACACAAAAAGGGAGATAGAAATACAGCAACTAACTGAAGAACTAAAGGGGAAGAAAGTTGAACTAGATGAATACAGGGAAAACATTTCACAGGTAATTTTTATCCTTTTTCTTATATGTTTACCATTAATGGGATGAGCGTATGAATTATATGAAATAAATCTTATGCTCCTAAGAGAAAAGGTATTTTCATGACCAGATTGACTCTGTTATAAAATTTGTTTTATGTCAGAATGGATAGTACTGCTTTCAGTTTATGATTTTGTCTTTTATTTGTAGGTGAAAGAAAGGTGGCTGAACCCCTTAAAGGAGCTAGTGGAAAAAATCAATGAGAAGTTCAGCAACTTTTTCAGTTCCATGCAGTGTGCTGGTGAAGTTGATCTTCATACAGAAAATGAGGTAATTGCATTGAGGATGTATTTTATGACCAGTAATTTTAATTATATGCAAAGGGTACATATAAACTTACTTATTTTGCAATTATACATGAAATTTTTGCTTACTGAAGAATTGTGAAAAGGAAGGAATAGACCTGTGGCTGGATTGGTGTCTCATTCTCTCCACTGGAAGACTGTCCATCTATGGATTTCTAACATTAGATTTGCTTGGCTTGGGGGTGGGGATGGTGTTTTGTTAAGTGGCTAATGCCTTTATTTTTAGCAAGTCTGAATAATGAATATTCAGCTGTGTTGAATGAGTGCGATGCTTTGTAAATCTACCACTGCTCAACTTAAGAGCCATAAACAAATTAGCAAACACAACTGAAATATAGTTTATATCAATGAGGTTGAGTTTGTTTTTTTGTTTTGTTTTGGAGTGTGTGTGTGTGTGTGTGTGTGTGTGTGTGTGTGTGTGTGTGTGTGTGTGTGTGTTAGTGGTGATGGTGTTTTCTGATGTTTTTGAGTCAGGGTCTCATAGTCTAGGCTGGCCTAGAACTTGCTATGTAGCCAAAGATGACATTGAATTCTCCTGAACCTCTTGCCTCTACCTCCCAATTAAGAGGATAGGCTTCTACTACCATGCTTAGTTTCCTTGGTTTCTTTTTTATCACAAGTTTAGAAGATAATAGGAAATATGGTAATTTCTTGAACTATAACTTTATGTATTGCTATTTTGGATAAAACATTTTCCTTTAAGAAAATTATGTGAAGAAGGGCTGGAGGTGTAGTGAAATGATTGTGTATGCTCAGCTGCATGAGGCCCTGGGTTCATTCCCTGACACTCTAAGCAAGTGAGGAAAGGAAGAAGAAAGAACTGATTTTTTTTTTTTTTTTTTTTAAATAACTGGGAAGGGGGCATGAATGAAAAGGAGTATAAATGAAGAAATGCTGGCCATCTTGTGATCTCAGTACAAAGTTTTTCCTGGTGCACTGGAGTCGTTTTTGTATTCTCATTTTGCGTGTGTCAAAATGTTTCCAAGGTGAAATTTCTTTTAAATAAAAGTCAAGTTAATAAAGAATATTTTTATATCTTTAAAATTTTGCATTTTAGCAAGTGTGGAAGTTTTTATTCTGTATATATATATATATATATACACACACACACACACACACACACACACACACACACACACACATACAGTACCATTTGTTCCTTTGAGGAGTTTTGCTTCACAGCTCCCCTCTGCTTCATGTAAAGCATGAAATACCTATTCGTTAAGTCCTAGATTTGAGGTCTTAGTTCCTTCCATAGCAGTTTACCACACAGTCGTTGGCTTACTATAACTAAGAAATGTATATTCAGTACTTAATTTCTGAGATGCTTCCTTTATGCTAAGCACTTCTAAGTTCATCTTGTTTAATCGCTTATAACTATCCTAGGAATCAGGAACTTATCCATCCTACTGAAAAAACAAACTGAAACTTACCATTATGTTACTGAAGGTCATGTTGCTATCAAGTGGCAAAGAATCAAAACTCCTTATCTAAACCCAGACAGAGCCTTAGCTCTTAGATAAATTTGATTACTGCAAGCATCATCCTGCTCAAAGTAACAACAGGATCTTTATCAGTAGCTTGACTGTGTCGGGTATAAATGTGATCAAGTAAGAAGTTGAGGCTTGTGTCACAGAAATCCCATCCTTCATATCCTCTTGCAGGGTACTTTATCTTGTACTGTTTCTTCGCAACAGTCTTTGTGTTTTCAATGCCATGCTGGAAAGACTCTCCACATGCCTTCCAATGTGTTCTCCTGGACCTTCCCTCTTCTTGACCTTTCCCGTTATCTCCTTTCTGTTCTGGCCTCCTGAGTAGTGGGTCCAGAACTGACTTCTTTAACTGGAACCTTGAGTGAGATCGAAGAAGCCAGAATGAGGCAGAAAAAAGCATGATCAATTACAAGAATCAAAAACAAACCTCCAGTAAATCCAATCCTGTGTAGTCAAAAGGGGACATAGTTAATAAATCAGTGTGGAAGAAATATGTTTAAAAGTAATCCTTGGGAATTAAAACTATTACAAATTATTACAGTTCTGTCATTTTTGTTGTTTTGTTTTGTTTTTCGAGACAGGTTTTCTCTGTGTAGCCCTGGCTGTTCCGGAACTAGCTCTATAGTCCAGGCTGGCCTCCAACTCACTGAGATTTACCTGCCTCTGCCTCCCAAGTGCTGGAATTAAAGTTCTGTCGATTGTTTACTTGGGGATTTGAAGGGAAAGGTTAAAATTATAGATTAAAAGTACTATTTGTAAAATTTTAAGGCCCACTTGAATTCTTTGCACATATGCTCTGTATTGGGTAGCTGTTTGAGCCGTGCCCTGAAATAGATTACTTTTATCATTAAGCTGATTCAGTGGATTGCTAGCGATTTAATCACATTAGTACTTGAAGGGATTTCTAGTTTCTAAAAGGAAGCTCTTGCTTTCTCACCTGCGGAACTGGAACGTAGTAGCAGCAGAGCCAGAGCAGAGTCCAAACTGGTGGCGAGGATCTTGGCAGCACTGGCCGTTACCAAGTATCTTCTGCTGTTCTACCGAGTATTGTTGAAAGGAGTGCAGCCAGAACTAACCAAAGGTGGCAGCCTGCTTGCGGGAGGGTCTCAGGAAAACGGGCCAGCAGCAGTAGTGACTATGGGGTGAGAATCTCCAGGAGAGATGGAGAGATTCAGGTAGTTAGTGTGAGAGTTGACCCAAAGCTCTTCTCCCAGAATAGGGAGGCACCACCACACTTAGAAACAACAGGGATTGTTTTTTACTTAGAGGTGGTGACATTCTTAAAAAGAATGTGGACTGAAATCACATGAGGTGATGTTCCATGAACCTGTTGGTTCCACTGACATTCTGAGTTATTTCATCCATAAATAACTGCCACACCTCCTTTATAATTAACTGATGGTATCCAAAGTGAAAAAATAAATAAAACACTTTTTGTTGCTCTTAGACCTCTGCTGTGAATACCTAATACATACATACAATTTCAAAGATTTAGTATGAAAAATGTAAGTTATTCATTGATAACATTTTATATTGTGGTGTTTGAATATATTAGATTAAGTAAAATATACCATTGAAGTTAATTTTACCTACTTTCGTTTTTTATGTTTTAAAAATGTGACTGTTGAATTGCTTATTTCTTGTATGTCTCTCTTGATTAGATACTTATGTAGACCATTTAACTAGTTAACTTTTAGCTAATGTTAAATGTTTCCCTTTTAAGGTAAATCTGAATCTGAATGAGCTAGTGTAGCTAAGAGAAGTAAATAAACCTCACAGTGGTCTCGGAGTTGGCAAAAGTTATAGAACACCAAATACTCCTCTTTTTATAAAATAAAATTTACATTTGTGTGAGTGCGTACACATGTAGGCTCTCAGGAGCTATTAAAATTTTTAGATAGTAATTGCTTAATCTAAGCTTGTTACTTTTGTGATTGATATATCTGATATATTTTCAAATAATTGAGTGAAATAATCAGAGAAAAAATTATTTCTCACTTTTTGTGTTTTACAGGAAGATTATGATAAATATGGAATCCGAATTAGAGTAAAATTTCGAAGTAGTACTCAGCTGCATGAATTAACTCCTCATCATCAAAGTGGAGGGGAAAGAAGTGTTTCTACCATGTTGTACTTGATGGCACTGCAGGAGCTTAATAGATGTCCATTCAGAGTAGTTGATGAAATCAATCAGGTACAGTACAGATTCTTTTAGGGGAAATATGTTGCGCCCTCTAGTAGATATACAAATGTAACAATTATTGTCATTGTGGTTTTAGGGTATGGACCCAATCAATGAACGAAGAGTGTTTGAAATGGTTGTGAACACTGCCTGTAAAGAGAACACATCCCAGTACTTCTTCATCACACCAAAGGTGAGTAATGAGTAAACTCATAGAAGAAGTCTTGTGCTCACCTGTCCCCTTTGGCTCAGTTGTGGAGCAGATTGGAGCTAAGAAGTGAATTTGAGCAGGAATACCCCAAAAAAAGGAGCTAAAAAGATTATAGTAATCTTTACATTCATGGAGGAGACACATTCCTGTGACATACTTCATCTGAGGAAGCGGTGGAAGGGCTTCATTCTGTTCTAGAACTTTGGTCTCCTTCCTTTTGATGCTCACTCCCCTTCTGGAAAGGCCCCTCTCTCTTGCGGAGAGATGACTGGGCATGCAGACCCTGGACTCTAGTCCTCACTGTCATGTCACATGCTGCCCGTCTGCGTTTCCCACCGCCACTACCCTAGCCCGAAAGAGTCCAAGTACCCAAGGTCATGGACCGACAAATCAGCTTTATAACAGCATAGTTCTATTCATAGAGAATTCCCAGAATCTAGAACTGCTGCAGTCAGAAATATCCTTTTGTTGAATCTGGTGCCATGGCTAAGTTACCAAGTAAATGTACTCAAAGATGTGTTCAATATTAACCATACTTTTTCTTTTTTCAACTAAATATTCATAAATATCTCATTGGAAAGCCCACCTAAACGTGCATTCTTTTTGTACTTAATCATCTTCTTTATGTGAGCTAGACAGATCTGCCTCTATTCTATTTCGAACTCCTTGGCTTAGAAACCAAAGCTCCCTCACACGTTTCATACTACCAGTCTGTCACAGTGCTTAGCCATAGACATTGTTGGAGAAGTATTTTGTATGGAAGTGAAAGTGATGTGGTCCTTGTTGATTGGTGAATACAGAGGATTCCCAGGCAACTGGAATATTGTAGGTCAGTTATTAGGCCAGTTATACTTATTCAGGAAGCTGTCATAGTCTGGCAAGTTGATGTATTTGAACATATATATGTAAGGCTGGAAAACTGTCTTTCTCAGTATATAATTTAATTATGCGGCAATTTGTTTCAATCCTTACAGCTTCTACAGAATCTTCCTTATTCTGAAAAAATGACAGTATTGTTTGTCTACAATGGCCCACATATGTTGGAACCAAACCGATGGAACTTAAAGGCTTTTCAAAGGCGGCGGCGAAGGATTACCTTCACTCAGCCTTCTCAGTGAAAGAAAAGGGAGGGGACTTCAGAGGTTTTTCTTTTAACTGTTTATACATGTGGCTCAAGTGAATAAAAGTTAGCAGATTTATTGAAAGAGAAAGATTGGTTATTTTTGGAAACCTGCATTTAAAAACAAATAGGTTTGAAATGGAGACCACAGTGACTCTGGAACATTTTCTAGTGAAAATTAAGTCTTCGGTTTGGTTGAACTTGGCTCCTTAGTCCTCTGTGAGCACTGGATTGTATGTAAAGATGTATACTGTCCACAGGTCTGGTGGCTCACATATAATCCAGCACTTGGGAAGTGGAGGCAGGAAGATCATGAGTTTGAGGCAAATCTGGATTGCAAAGTAAGATCCAATCCATGTAGACTGTAGAGTGGGATCGTGTGTCATAAAAAAGCGATTTCCTGTTGTAAATCACAGGTATGATAGAATGGGGATTTCATTTACAAAGCATTTACTAAGTGTGGCAGCTCTGAGTACTGATTACAAGAGAACTTTGACTTTCAGAGCTTAAAGGCAACTCAGAAATCCCACTTTTCTTCCAGTGTTATATTTCATTTTTAAAAGGTAATATGAGAATGTCTACTTAATGGACAGTAGTTTGTTCATTTCTTTGTGTTAAAGGTTACCTTATTTTCATAGAAAACATGTTTATGGGCCTTTAAAAGTTTTAGGCAACTTGATACTATAATTTTACTGGTATTTCAAAGAATTGGGAAAACGTACACATGGGGCTTCAAAATGGCAGCAGGATTTTGAGAGATCCCAAGGTAAAGATGACACAGAATATGGCCCAAACATTGGTGGAATGAAACCACCTGACAAGGACTCGAAGAACAGCACTATAAAGTACAAGTTTCGTGCTGGGGTTTCTTGTTCAGTTTTGGGTTTTTGTTTTGTTTTGTTTTTAATTTGAAGTCAAATGTATTTTACATCTTAAATTTCTAAAGGCGTTTTTTATAATTACTTTTAGTAAGCTTTTTCTTAAGATTTCATATGCGAGTTTTTACAATTTGTATTTGAAATTTCTCACTGCTATGTAAAGAGTGATGGCAAAGTATTGATTTGTTTAAAATCATAATGTTTTTAGAATTTGTAGGTACTCCTTACAGTATTGATCAGACCCAGTATTTTAGAAAAATCTCATCTAAATTCTTTTCTTCTAGCCTGAAAAAAGTTCAGTCAGAAACCATTTATTTTTCTTTTGAGTGTGCTAATTAACAGTGCCAAACAAATTCTGTTCTTTTAAAAATGTAAATCTTGCAAGAAGATAGAAATGTCTTTGAACAGTAGACTGGACCATATCTCTGCTGGTACTGACAAAGTTATTTTGCACTTGCTAGCCTGAATAAACTAAAGTTCAGGTTTGTTTATTTTTGTAATAGCCAGTGAGGTTTACATTCTTAGTAGGTTCACAGTAATGGAACATGAGCCTGTGTTGTCTCCCTTGGACATTTTCTCTTTTAAAAAGTTGTATTTCTTTATAAAACTTGTAAGAGAGTCCTCCCCTCTTAAACTAAGTCTCATACATGCAGTACAAAGATATTTTTAATAACATTTTTACTAGCATGAACAAGTCAAAAAAATTTCAAAACTTGGTTATATATTAGTGAAGAATATTACTAAACATTTGTGTTGTTGCTTGGTTTTTGACATAATATCTTCACTAATATGTGTTTGATGTAGTTTGGTTTTATCATATCAGTGTAAACTGGATTAAAGGTTAAAAACTGAAAAAAAAAGGTTGAAGGTTAAACATACTTAAAACTCACATCAGCAATTGCATTTCAGTTTACATATGCCAAAAAATATTCCATATCATGTTTATAAGCATTCAGTGAGCAAAATTAATGTTCTGTTTTATATTGAACTTTGGGCTGGGAAGGATAAATTGTGTATCATTTATCATATTAAAAATAGTCAAACATAATATGTCATATTTTCTGCAACTGTTGATTTTTTTAAATTACATTCAAATTGTAAAAATTCCAAGTAAAAGCTTGATTTGATAAATAAAATATTTAAAACCTGAAGGTTACAGATATTTTGGATGACTAAATCTTTACATTGATTGTCAAAGGACAGTCTCTGTTAGAAGATCTCTCGTTTTAAAAAGAGGGAGAGGGCTGGTGTTTGGTTTTGTTGTAAGATTTATTTTATGTGAAGGGTGATTTCTGTCTGCATGTATGTCTGTACACCACATGAGTGCCTGGTTCTTGGTAAGGCCAGAAGAGGGCATCAGATCTCCTGAGGGTGGAGTAGAAGACAGTTGTGAGCTGCTGTGTGGGTGTTGGGAATAGAAACTGGATCCTCTGGGAGTGGCCAGTGCTCTTAACCATGATCCATCTCTCCATCCCCAAAGAGAGATTTCTTGCTGCTTTCCAATAGCCTTATTAGACATAAGCCTGTGGCCTATGAGGGGCATCTTTTCATTCTGGTGCCTGTAAATGTAAGTGATTAAAACTGTGTTATAAATACTACTTTGTTGGTAATTAATGCGTATTTTCCCATTTTTTTGCTATAGGTTATTTAAGATGAGAGTTTTTTAATACTTTAAATTTTCTTAAAAGTCATTTTTGTTTTCAGGATTACAAAAAAAATTTTCAGTGTCTGCCATTTATAATGCAGTGTTTAATAGTCTATTTGTGTTCCAAAAGATAAAAATTTAGTCTTTTGTCCATTTGAAGTGGGATTAGAATCTAATAGCAGTTAACACAGGGAAAGCGTGAAAGCATCCAAAGAAGCCAAGCTAGAAGGCAAGTAGAACTGTTTATGTAGAAATAGTAACTTCTGAAAACATGTCACCTTACTATTTCTTACATTGAACTATTACTCAACGCAGTCTTTTAAAATGTATCTTGAATCAGATTTTTTACCACTTGCTTTCAGCAATTTCCACACTAGCAAGATGAGGACATACCTAATTCACAGTTTTGAGATGACAGTCAGGTCTGTGAGGGAACCCAGCATCATTGTTGGTGCTGTGTAAATCTTTACTTCTGCTGTGTATGAAGTACTGTGTCTGACCTGAAGACAAGATTTGCATAGAGGTTTTTCTATATTCTTGATGGTGTTAGTTGTTCACAGGATGCAGACAGTGATGGACTTTGCATAACAGATAAAGTATTTCATATACCATATTACTTTCATGAACTCTGAATATGAATTAGATGACTGAACCTACTTATAGTGCTTTGTCTTATTACTTCATAGCCAGCCATATATTTTAGGAAGGCACATTACTGGTAGAATGTGTATATTTTTATATACTTGGGAGATTTGACTGTTGACAATTTGAGCATTTTATCTCCAGTGAAAAAACAATTGAAGGTGTGAAATTTTGTTTTTATTTTTTCATTTTTCTCTTCTTCCTTCCTTTATTGTGGCAAATGTACATAATATAAATTTTTACCATTTTAAAGTATACAGTTCAGTGGCATGAAATACATCACAATGCTGTGCAATCGTCATCCCTGTGCATTACTCATTCACTATAATCCTAATATGACACGTTGTGTCTATTCAGACTGACTTTCCATTTCCGCTTTACCCCCAGCCCATGGAAAACTCTTCTCATTTGTTTGATTTTTAATGTAACATGCAGAGTAACTGGTTTCATTGTGATATTTTCATACATATATGTCACTCTACATGTTCCTATTCACCCTCATCCCTTATTTCAATGTGTATGTGTGCCTGTGTACATATGTGCAGAGGCCAGAGGTTAACCTCAGTTGCAGTCTTCCACATACCCTTCAGCATGTTTTTTTGAGAGGATCTCTCAGATCTGGTAAACTCCAGCTTCTCTGATTCAAAGAGGAGAATAAATGTTTGGATTACAATCAGCGTTCTCTGCCACCATCCCGAAGAAATAACCTCACCCTATAGCTTACTGAGAGTATCCTCAGATAAAAGAAGACTTGGTAGATATCCCTTTTTGCTCTTAGAAATTATCTCAGTCTTTAAGATTACTTATTTATTTATGGTTTGTCTGTTCGGTTGTCTTAGTTTGTTTTAGGGGAGGAAGTTGTCTTTTCTAGTGGAGTATGAAAGTTCTTGGAGGAAAACGAATGTGTTGGTT